CTCTCAGGTGGGCATACACCTTAAAAGGGAGAAATGTATGTTTCAGGCACTCTAAGTGACCTGCATGGGCTACAATCAACAAGACTGGGTTACCCTGTTGGAAGATAACGTGAGGGCGATCAAAGGTGCCCCAGTTCCCACATCTGTACTGGGGCTTAGGTTTCTCCTTGGGCTGCTAAATTATTATGGAAATTTCATACATAACCTAGCCTCCATCCTGCTTCCTTCGCATCAACTCTTTAAAAAAGGATCAGCCTTGGGTTGCATAGCCAAGCCATGGCTTTTAGGGAAGTGAAGCTGTCATCCTCTAAGGTGTTGGCACACTATGATCCCAAGCGAGATCTGGTATTGACATGCAATGCCTCCCCACACGGCATCAGGGTGGTACTAGCTCATAGATGGCCCAATGGAGAGGAACCCCCAACAGTGTATGATTCCAGGACTTTGGCTAATGCAGAGCGTAAATACACCCAGATAGAGAAGGAAGGTTTGGCGGTCATATTTGGAGTCAGGAAGTTCCACCAATGCCTTGATGGACATAAATTTGTAACAATAACAGATCACAAATCCATGCTAGGTAGTACTTAAAGAGGTCAAGGCAGTGCCACCTATAGCTTCAGGTCAAATTCAGAGTGTGTAAATAAAGGGTGACTTGGTGACTGGATACCAGCCTCCCTGGAGTTATTTCAGTGTGAAAATGTGTGAAGTAAGAGCAAAGAAACATCCAGGATAGAAACGTTAATAAAAGAACGCAAGAGTTACCAGAGCTACAGTTCAGGGAGAGAGATTGGATAAGACATCAACAGAGGGAAAGAATGATTATAGAGTAACCATAACAACTGAGATCACATAGGATTTTAACAGATCAAGGGACTGTCAGATGAAATCACAACACAGACATTTAATTGAACAAGAAACCAAGAGGAATGTGGAACTATTTGTCGGAAGAAGAGTAACAAGAGAACTCTTCCCCGAGAGAGGGAACACTCACACTGAGGAAAGGAAGAGTACAGAACATCAAACACCTCAAAATGAATCTAGAACCAGATCAGAGAGATAAAGAGTTAAAGCACCAAGGTCACAAATGCTGAGACTTTGAAACGACGATGTTCATCAGGAAGTTGGTGGCGGGTATAGACTTGGGGAGAGAGATGGAGGAATGAGATATCAGCAGAAAGCACAATGCTGGTGATGTATTATGGCAGAAAGATGAAGTGACGGTCATATGATGCAGAGAAATCTAGAACGCAGCAGATGTTTTGACCACACTCTCAGAGAAGTGTGTGTGTACAATGCTGTTTTAAGGAAAGCCCCACGGATTCATGAAGCAGTACTTGGGAGATCAAAGCTAGTTAGACCTCATACACATAATCAAACAGAGGAGATGGGATCAAAATCAGCACAGTGAACATAACACATCAATACGTCTAGCAACTGGGAACAGAGCATCAATAAATTGGAAGTATGTATACACAGAAAGTGGCACAGCAGGGTGAAAGAGTGGTTAAAAATGCATACACCAGAACGTGTATTTTTTAAATAGGGTTGCAGAGAACTAAAGCAGGGTAGTTATGATAAACCTGCATAAGATATTGGTTTGGCCTCAGCAGGAGGATTGTACCCAGTTCTGAGGGCCACACATTCGGAAGGGTCTGAAGGCATTGGAGACGGCTCAGAGAAGATTTCCAAGACTGGGTGAGGAACTTCAGGCAGATCTGAGAGACGGTGGCATTTCTCCTCAGGGAAGAGAAGGCTGAGAGGAGATTCTGTAGGGGGATTCAAAATCACGAGGGCTCTGTCCAGGATTGATAGGGAGAAACTGTTCCCATTGTCAGAAGGCTTGAGAACCAAAGGACACGGGTTTAAAGTAATTGGCGAAAGAAGTAATGGTAACACAAGAAAATTGTGTTTTTACGTATGAAGTGGTTAAGATCTGGAATGTGGTGCCTGAGAATGTGCTGGGGTTGGATTCAAGTATGGCATTCAAAAGAATTGTGATCCTGAAGGAGGAAATCTTGCAGGGCTACAGGGTAAAAGTAGGGAAGTGACACTAGGTAAGTTGCTCTTGCAGAGATCTTGCACAGATACAATGGGCCAAATGGCCATCTCCTGGGCAGTAACCCTTCCGAGATTCTATAACTGGAAATAGCTGGCACAGTTACTATTACTGACAGCAAGAGTGGGTACACAAACTTATATGATCTTTCAGAAACACTTCAAGACACTCCAAATACAATGAGTTACTTTAAAGTACAGTGTTTTTTATTGTGTAGTCTCTTTGCAACGCCAAGTTTCCATGATAGTCTTTTTGACTCAAGTACGTTCCCAGAATATAGGATCTTTATAATGCAAAAATACAATTTACTCATCATTAATCAGACAATTCCTGGAAGAAAACAAGGCTTAAACTTGTACGCCAGCAACGTGCATCAGCAACTCAGTAAAGTAAATGAAAGGCTGCCTTACATTCTTTAGACCATTCTATAAAGCAGCCTCCAGTATTATTCCATTTGTGAGAAAATTACTGCTCCAGAATACATTTTAACATCAATTTCATTAAGATGTTGATTTTTTGATGGGAAAACTTCTGACCTAAATGGCCACTTATCCCGTACAAGCATAGATAATCAGTGTTGGTGAAGTCTGAATGATGGGCAGCATCACAGCAAAACCTGACAACATCCAGAATCTCCAGAAGAGGTTGATGGGCAACAATTAGATAAGACTTTCACTCATGTAGCACCATCTCCTGACCCCCAGCACCCCCAAAGCAATTTACAGCCAACCTGCCTCACAGTGCCAGGGACTCGGGTTCGATTCCACCCTCGGGTGACTGTCTGTGTGGAGTTTGCACATTCTCCCCGTGTCTGCGTGGGTTTCCTCCGGGTGCTCCGGTTTCCTCCCACAGTCCAAAGGTGTGCAGGCTAGGTGGATTGGCCATGCTAAATTGCCCCATAGTGTTCAGGGATGTGTAGGTTAGGTATGTTAGCCAGGGGAAATGTAGGGTTACAGGGAGGGGATGGAGGTGATGGGGTGATGGGTCTGGGCAGGATGCTCTTTGGAGGGTCGGTGTGGACTTGTAGGGCTGAAGGGCCTGTTTCCACACTGTAGGGATTCTATGATTCCTTACGTTTCAAATACAGTCTGGTGATGCAGGAAATACACAAGCTATTTTAGAAACATCTCGTTCCCACAAGAAGCAACGGGATCATCAGCAAATTTTTTTTGTTTTAAGGGTGTTGGCTCATGGATAAATATTCTCCATGACACCTTAGAAAAATGTCCTTCACCTCTTCCAACAATGCCACATGGTGCTTTACATTCACATGAGGAGTCAGATCGAGTCTGACTTTAATGTCTCATTTGAAAGTTGGCACCTCCTTAAATGCAGCTCTCACTCAGTAGTGCTCCTTCAGATTCAGCGGCATAGAGCCTGATACACATGGGCAGTGACTGAAGTTATAAATGCACAGAACACCAGAGTGTATCCCAATCTTGCTTCTGGCCTGTATTGCAATGGGCTGCCCAAAGCCAGGCGAAAACAGTTAGCAAGTTCCAAGCCTTTTGTTCAGCTGGCACCGAATCATAGCAAAATCAGAGTAGCCCATTCAACCATTCAAGCCCTCTCTGCCATTTAATTTGATCATGGCTGATCATCCGACCCTGTCCTACTTTCCCTCCATACCCATTGATTCCTTCAGCTCTAAGAGTTATATCTAATTCCTTCTTGAAAGCATTCCATGTTGTGACCTCAACCACTTTCAATGGCCGAGAATATCGTAGGGTCCCCACTCTGGGGGTGAAGAAGTTTCTCCTCATCTCAGCCCAAAATGGCACTCCCCATATCCTTAGAATGTGACCCCTAGTTCAGGACTCTCTGGTCATCAGGAACATCCTTCCTGCATTTATCCTGCCTAGTCTTGTAGAATTGTATAGGGTTATGAGATTGCCCCCTCACTCTTCTAAGTCCCAGTCCTAGTCAATCCAGCTTCTCTTCATATGTCGGTCCTGCCATCTCAGGAGTCAGTCTGGTAAAACTTTGTTGCACTCCCTCCATCCTTCCTCAGATAAGGAGACCAAAAGCAGCACACTTTGTGTTCAAAATACCACTTCATTTGAAGTGCTGCCCTAAGAACTCCTACAGTGTGGAAACAGGCCCTTCAGCCCAACAAGTCCACACCAACCCACAGAACAACCCACCCAGACCCATCCCCCTATAACCCACCTAATCTACACATCCCTGAACACTACAGGCAATTTAGCATGGCCAATCCACCCAGCCTGCACATCTTTGGGCTGTGGGAGGAAACCAGAGCACCCAGAGGAAACCCACGCAGACACAGGGAGAATGTGCAAACTCCACACAGACAGTCGCCTGAGGTAGGAATCAAACCTGGGTCCCTGGCGCTGTGAGGCAGCAGTGCTAACCACTGAGCCACTGTGCCACCCTCTCTAACCTAAGGGTTTGGGCTGGTTAAGGGACTGAGCCTCTGCACAGTAAAGATTTGAAGGTCCCAGCATCAACTCCTGCTCTGCATTAACGTGCAGGTAAACCTGCTGCATCTGACTGATATTAGAAATAGATTGTGTTCCTGCTCAGTTTGTCGAACTTTCGCCTCTGAGTCAGAAGGCTGTAGGTTCACTCCAATGGGGTGACGTGCTCAGTGCAGTACTGAGAGGGTGCTGCAGTTTTGGAAATGTCATCTTTGAAATAAGACATTAAACTGAATCCCAGTCTGGCTCCTCACGTGAATGTAAAATATTCTGTCGCATTGTTGTGTGAATCAGGAAAGTATAAACAAGGGACAGTCAGTACAACTAAAACCAGAGTGAGTGGAAGCAGTTTCTCAGAATGTTACTTGTTCACTGATGAGTTGGCCAGATTGGGGTATCTCAGATTACAGGACCCAGGGTCCCCATGCTCTTTGAGTCTGATCTTCTCTTTGGTCCCTGTACAGCAATAAAGAGCTGGACTCATTGCTACTATAACAGGAACCCACCTGCTCATCTGAAAGGGCCTCTTCAGGAGACTGAACTCCTGGAGCAGAGTACGTGGTCTGTATGATTCGGCTTCGGAATCGCTCCAGCTGCACAAGTACAATAGGATATTTTAGGATGATACCGGGAGACATATTCAAGTTCAACATTACAGCTGAATTGCCAAGTAGACCTCACTCTGACACAAACATATTCCTCAGTAGCTTCAATTTTTTAAAAAAGCCCTCCTTCAAATGTCACCTTGGCTCAGTTGGTAGCAAAGTGGCCTTGAGTTAGAAGATTGTGGAGTTCGAGTCTTACTCCAGGACTTGAGCACTTACTCGATATTAACGTTCCAATGGGGGAAATGCTGTTGTTAAGGATGGGGAGCTGCCATTCTACAAAGATTCAAACTGTGGTCCGGTCTCTTGTGCAAAGCTGACATTAATACAGCATAATATTTGAAGAGGAGCAGCGAGTTGTCCTGAGCAATATTCTTTCCCTAACCATCGTCGCAAAAATATTCCAGAGAACTGGGCTCCCCGTGGGCTGTTGTTGGGCGCAAACTGGCAGCTAACTTAACAAATGGGATTGCACGCTACATAGAGTCACGTAGAATATATGACAGAGAAACAGGACATTCAGCCCAATCAATCCATGCTGCATTGTGCTCACCTTCTTGTCTAGCTGCTTTCTAAATACATCAATACTGTCCACTTCGACTACCCCCTGTGATAGTCCAACATTTGACCCATTTTTTAGGTAAAGCAGTTTCTCCCGAATTCCCCGCTGGATTTCCAGGTGACTATCTTATATTGATGGTATCTAGTTATGCCCTTCCCCGCAAGAGGGAAAAATAATTCACTACTTTGGTACATCCTAAGAGGTATGATAAGGCGTTATCAAAATACAATCTTTCTTTCCCAATGATATGAGTGACAGGGTCACATTAGCCCTGGGTTTAACCATCCTGGTCAGTGACACAAAACTTTATTCAATAGTTTGACAGACAACTCATCAGAACATGACCCAGGGAAATTATTTTGTCCCTCAAACCAAGTCCTGCCTCAGAATCTTGCTGTGTTTAGATGCAAATCTGCTGGTGAGGACATGAGTTGGCCTTTCTACAAGGATAACATTGACATGCAGGCCAAGGGAACCAGACAGACAGCACCTTGGTTGGCATCTCATTTGAAGATGGCACCATCCACACCTCATTCCTACAATGCAGCCTTTGTTTTACACTCGTGTCCTGATGTGTATAAAAGTGACTGCAGCAACTTGTATTTGTGTGGGTTCTCTGTAACAGCATCCTAAGTGCTTCAGCATCGCATTATCAAACAAAATTTGACATTGAGCCACATAACAAAAAATTAGCATAAAGGCTTGCTCAAGGGAAGAAATGGTATGGTCCATCTTACACAGAAATAGAGAAAGGTTTAGTGAGGGAATTGCAGAATTAGAGCTCAGCAGCTGAAAACATGGTCACCGATGATGGAGCATTAAAAATCAAGGATGCTCAATGAGTCACTTTTCCCGGAGGACTGCTGGGATGGTTCCTATGCTAAAGCACTTTATAAATGCAAGTTGTCGATGATGACAGGTTTGGATGGAGTTACAGAAAAAGGGAGGAGTGAGTCCATGGAGGGATCTGAACATAAGGATGAGAATTCTTAAAAATTGATGCGCTGCCTGACTGGGAGTCAAAGTGAGAACAGGGGCAAAAGGTGAACAGGCCTTGTGATGAGTTAGGATGAAGACAGCAGAATTTAGGAAGAGTTGAAGTTTATGAAGTGTGGCAGCTTGGCCATATAGTGTATCAAATGACAGTGATATGTGAAGCATGCTTCAACAACCTTGGGACACACAGCACTTTCTTCTGAGCCAGAACCACCAACTGAGCCACGTTGAGCACATTAGCTGCTCTCATCTCCTGGCAGCCTTTGGCCAATGCTACAGCACAGCTCTTGAAGCTATTCCCTCCCTGGCTTTGTTGGTCCAGTTCCACGTGTTTTAGCTGTGATCTGAGCTTGCAAGTCTCTGGGCAAACACGGCAGCTTTCTCTCTAACCTTGGCTTGGGCCTGCTCCAGATCGACCCTCACCAGCCTCTCCCTTCGGCCCATCTCCTGAAGCAGTAGCCTGGTCCTCTCCAGCTCATCCTGAAGCTGCTCTTGGATCTGAAACAAAATAACAGCATTGGAGTAAATTTTTTCAAAAAAAAAAAGCAGGAAAATAGAACACAGGGTTTAAAAATAAACAAACAGTCTCATTTACATAGGTCTCATTAGATGTGTCTCAAAACCATTGCATAAAATAAACCATTTTGAAATACAATCATGCAGTCATAGTTACAGTGTCACACAGCATGAAGATAGACCCTTTTGTCCAACCATTCCACACAGAACATAATCCCAAAATATATTAGTCCCACCTGCCTGCTCCTGGCCCATATCCCACCAAACTGCTCCTATTCATGTACTTATCCAAATGCCTTTTAAACGTTATAATTGCACCAATATCCACCACCTCCTCAGGAAGTTCATTCCAACTGTGAACCGCTCTCTCTGTAAAAAAATTGCCTCCATGTCTTTTTTTAAATCTCTTTTCTCTCACCTTAAAAATGGGCCCCATGTAGGTAAATGGATCTGCCATTTCGTAGACAGCAAGAACTCATGAGCAGCGGTGAGATACTTGATGAAACATCGCTACTAAAGGACAACACTTCCAGCAATACAGCATTCCCACACTGGAACTAAGCTGGAAATGTCAGCCTGGACTGTGTCATTAAATCACAGAGAAACAACAGCTCCCTCTCTGTAACCAGTTTAGACATGACTAGTAGGCTTGAGGGGTTGAATGGCCTACTCCAGTCCCTGATCTGTAGGTGCAAATGCATGGCATATTTTACCAACTACTTATAGAGTCATAGAACACAGAAACAGACCCTTCAGTCCAACCAGTCCATACCAACCAAGACCCAAACTAAACTAGTCCCACTTGCCTGCGTTTGGCTCCTATTCCTCAAAACATTTCTTATTCATGTACTTATCCAAATGCATTTTAAATGTTGTAACTGTACCCACATCCACCACTTCCTCTGGCAGCTCCTTCCACATATGAAACACTGTGCAAAAAAAAAATTGCTCCTCGTCTTTTTTAAATCTTTCTTCTCTCACTTTAAAAATATACCCCCTAGTCTCGAAATCCCCCACCCTAGGGAAAAGACACCTGCCATTCACCTTTGTAATGTCACCTCTCAACCTCCTACGCTCCATTGAAACAGGTCACAGCCTATCCAGCCTCTCCTTATCTTTTACCATCTTGCAGGTAAGTTGCATTGTGACACCTCTGTGCATTTCAACAAGGTTCAGACCTTTCACTCTCTCCAGTCACTTCATAAAGTAAGCAAATTGCCCAGAAAAGTCTCAGCTTTGACCACTGGTTTCACTTTTAGCCAAACCAACACCTACAAGCTGCCTCCATGGTTCAGGGATGAATGGGACATGCAGAAAGGGTGGCACGGTGGCTCAGTGGTTAGCACTGTTGCCTCACAGAGCCAGGGACTCGGGTTCGACTCCACACAGACAGTCCCCCAAGGGTGGAATTTGAACATTCTCCCTGTGTCTGTGTGGGTTTCCTCTGGGTGCTCCGGTTTCCTCCCACAGTCCAAAGATGTGTGGGCTAGGTGGATTGGTCATGCTAAATTGCCCGTAGTGTTCAGGGATGTGTAGATTAGGTGGCTTATAGGGGGAAGGGTCTGGGTGGGATGCTCTGTGAGTCGGTGTGGACTTGTTGGCCCGAAGGGCCTGTTTCCACACTGTAGGGATTCTATGAAATTGTCCAGTACATCTGCTCTAGACTATTATCCAGTATTTCCCACTGGAAAGTAAAGATGTGTGTGGGCTTGTGGATATTGGAGGTGAAGGTAGAATCAGGATTGGTGTTCCCTGCTCTGGCTCATACTTAGAGAATGAGATTTGAGTGGATGACTCGTGAGATCACCCTATGGAATGGTACCTCAGCATGAGGGAACGTCTTTGGGGAAGCCACGGGATTCATAATTGGAGTTTCTGGTGCTTACCTGTTTCTCCTCAGATGCACTGGTCTTCATGTCGTCCTGTTGACTACGGAGCTGCTTGACCTCTGACTCCAACTCCTTCATCCGACTCTCCAGCCGTTTTGCATTCTGGCACAAACACAGAGGGGGCATTCATTTTCCACTTACTTCCCTTCATCTTATTTAAATTCATAGAGCATCAGAAAGTAGAGGCTGAGAAAAGACCATTCAGCTCCTTGAACCCTCTCTCCTGTAGACTGCATATAGTCAGTGGAAACACTCCAGAATATTCTTCATTTTCACATCTCCACTATTAAAGCTGCTGTCTCCTCATTTACGATCAACATTTCTCCACCACCAACCCTTAATTTATTCTCATGAGATAGTTTAGCCAATCTGCAACTGACCATCCCACTCCCAACTCGTGATTTATTTGGTTCTTTTTATTGTCTAAATACCAAGATACTACTGGCAGGAATCTGGAACACCCTGAGGAAAGGAATCAGTTTCCCTTCCCCCCCCCAAGTCTAATTTGTACCATGCAGCTTTGCCTAGTCCATTATGTAAACTACTACTGTCATCTGAACTTCTGCTCCTCCCCACCCCCACAGGCCATTAGCAACACTACAACTCAACCAACCCCTTCACCTTCCCTTTCCCTGGTTTTTCTCTCTTCCATTCATCTCAAAACATCATAACCACCTAGGGTGGGTCCTTTCAAAGTTCTGAAAGACACAGAAGCAGGCCATTCAGCACCTCGAACCTGTTCAACCATTCTAAATCATGGCTGATCATCTATCTGAACATCATCTTACCATGCTATCCCACTATAGCTCAATGCCATTAGTATGTAGAAATCTATTGGCCTCAGTCTCAATGAGTGAACTTCCACAGCACTCTGGAATAGAGAGTTCCAAAGATTTACTCCTCCTCATCTCAACCCTAAGTGGCTTGCTTCTTATCCTGAGATTGCAAAGCTTGGTTCTAGAAGCCCCTCAGCCAGGGGAGCATCTCTTCTGTGGGACTGCAGGCCAGACCAGGACAACAAATTGCCTTTGTTAAACAGTACTAGTGAACCGAAGATAACAAGGTGTAGAGCTGGATGAACACAGCAGGCCAAGCAGCATCAGAGGAGCAGGAAGGCTGATGTTTCGGGATGTGTTTTTTTTAAAAACGCCAATGATTAAATGGCTAGCTTAGTTACATTGGGATTTTATTAAATTCAAATTTCACCATCTGCCACTGTGGGATTTGAACCCAGGTCCCCAGACCTTAAACTGGGATTCTGGAATACTGGCCCCGATGACATTACTCCTATGTCACTGTGTCCCCTGTGGCCAAGACATAATTTGCCTTTTTATCACTGGCAGCACCTGAACGTCAGCTTTCAATATTAATGAACAAGGACACCCAGTCCCTCATAAACATCAATACTTCCCAACCTTAGACCATTTGAGAAATACTAGGCATCTCCATTCATCCCACAAAAGTGGATAACCTTGCACTCATCCACATTACATACCAGTTTGTTCACACACTCAGCGTGTCCACATCCACTTGTGCCATCCTTACAACACACACGCTCCCACTGGTTTCATGTCGCCTGCAGACTTGGAAATATTATATTTGGTCCCCACCTCCGGATCACTGATATAGATTGTGAACAGCTGCAGGCCAAGCACTGATCTTTGCAACACTCCACGACAGTTACTCTACCCACCAACATGAGAGTGACCCAGATATTCCTGTTCTGTTTTCTTTCACTTAACCAATCTTCAATCAATACCAGTACAGTACCCTGAATCCCACATGCTGTATTTTTGTTTGAATTAATTCAACCACTGAAAGCTCAAACCACAAATTCTGATTGGTTCTGTTCATGGGCTGTGGATCGTGTTACAATAGCTGAGACAAATTGGTTATGAGTGTTGAAGAAAAGACAGGCTTGCATTTATACAGCGTTCTTCACGACCATCGGACATCCCAAAGTACTTCAAAGCTAATGAGGGGGTTTGTGAAATGTGGACACTGTTGTAATGTGGGAAACACTGCACTGCAGTCAATCTGCACACAGCCAGCTCAGGGAAATGGCAGTACAATAATGACTAGAGTATCTGGTTTGCTTTGTGGTGTTTATTGAGGATAAAAACTGGTCAGGACACTGAGGAGAGCTCCCCATCCCTTCTTCAAAACTGTGTCATGGGGTCTCTCACCTGAGCAAGGAGATGGGTTTGAAGTCTCATATAAAAGATATCACCGCTAACAGTGCAGTGATCCCTCAGAACTACAGTGGCATATCAGCTGAGGCAGGAGTGCTATCAACTGAACCCTCATTGACAAGTTGCATCCAGAATCTGGACCTTCAAGACAAGAGGGCTGAAAATCAGAGGAGATGAGGACTAAATGTCCCCAAAACACTCAACTGATGGAGTTGCACATTTCTATTTACACTCACATGCCTCTGGGTCACCAGCTCCTTCTCTTTGCTCACCAGCTCCTCCTGTTGCTCTCTCGACTCTCGCATTCTGGAAAACTGAACCAGAAAGGATTGTTAAATTAGATACTGGATACAAAGAAGACTGAGGGGGACTCACTCAAGACAGGCCTGGGATCCTCGGGGGGGAAAAGAAAACAGCTTTAAAATGTTCAAGCGTGTTCTGAAAATGCTAATGCTCTCCAGAAGGTAAAAACCCCTTTTATCCAGTGTCAACGTTTCAGGTTAATGGTTTTTAGTCAGCAAAGGGCATTGACCCGAAATGTTAATTCGATTTCTCTCTCTCCACAGATGCTGCGTGCCCAGTTGAGTATTTTGATCTTGTCCAGGACAAAATGGTTCACAGCCAGTCTCAGGGTTGTGCTAAGTAAGCTGAACACAGTGTGGGGGAATAGCAATCAAGGCATGAGAACTGGCCTCAGTTCCCCTACTCTGTTTCACATAAGATCATAAGGTGTAGGCCATCAAGCCAGCTCCACTTCTTTATATTTAACAATGGGAAAAGGGCATTGTTAGCTCGGCCAGCATTTATTGCCCATCCCTAATCAGCTAGAGGACAGTTAAGACCCAAACAGATTACTGTGGGTCTGGAGTCACATGTAGGCCTGACCGAGCAACGGTGGCAGTTACCTTCTGTCGTGGTAGATTATTTACAAAATAATCTCAGCAGCCTGGAGGTACAGGTCAATGATTGTTTATTGAGCCTATGTCGGGAGAGTCTGTCCCAGAGAAGATTCCAACGTAACACTCTAATGGAATTCCATGTGGATTTATAGATCAGCTCATGTCATACCCAAATTTCCTCCTCTCACTTTCCTGAAGGATATTGGTGAACCAGGTGGATTTTTCCTGATTGTTGGCTTCATGGTCATCATCAGATGCTTAATTCCAGATATTTTATTGAATTCAAATTCCACCACTTGCCATGGCAGGATTTGAACCTGGTCCCCAGAGCATTAGCTGGGTCTCTGGATTACTAGCAATATCACAAGGTTATCACCTCCCTAAGATTATATCTTCTCCCTCAGTGGTTTTTCTCTATTTAAATCATGCCCTTTCCTTCCTGCCCCAATGCCTACCTTAGCTGACATGGCTGCCAGCTGACCATCCTTATCCTGGATCTCTGTCCTCAGTTTCTCTGCCTCTGCTTGGAGCTGTAGCAGTTGTTGATCTTTGGCAGTGATGTCACGCTGCAAACTGGTCACCAGCCCTGGCCAAGGTTGAGCAGAAAATCGTCAAGAGGGATTGGACAATGACCTACCCATTCTCCCTACTGGGCCTGATGGTATTGACCCACCCAGACTTGTCTGCCTTGCTGACCTGGTCTAATGCTGAGTAGACATTGATGTCATGGAAACAATGGAGGTGAGCCACCGTCTCCTAGATGATTTACCAACCAGCACCGGGCAAGTCTCAAACTTCCATCTCTCTTCCTCAGTAAGTGGCAAGGATACCTTTACTAAGCCACCAGTTCATTTCAACTTGTCTCATGGCTTGTCATTTGAGGAGCAGTCAAGGATTCTGGGCCTGTACTCAATGGAATGTAGGAAAATGAGGGGGGATCTTACTGAAACCATACAGAATACTGAGTGACTTGTATACAGTGGACAAGAAGATGATGTTTCCACCAGACGGAGAAACAAGGACTTGAGGGCACAGCCCAGAGTGAAGGAATAACCCTTTAGGACTGTAATGAGGAAGAACTTCTTCAGCCAGAGGGTGGTGAATCTGTGAATCTGAGTGTATTTAAGACTGAGATAGATCAGTTCTTCATTAGTAAGAGGATCAAGGGTTAGGGGGAGAAGGCAGGGGTGAGCAGATGTGGGTTTTCTGTCAGGGATAAGGCAGCAATGAAATGGAATGGGGCCCATGAGGAGAACGCAGTCCCTCGCCCATTCAAGCACTGTGCGTCAATGGATGGGCTCCAGGCAGTGCATTGCCATAGTTCCTGCTCAGATCACTTCTCCAGTGAGCCAGGGGTAGGTTGGTGGCAGAAAACTGACTCTGACCCCATCCATTAACCCCTTTCCCCCACCCTGACCCCATCCATTGGCCCCTCCCCAGCACTGACCCTATCCATTAAACCCCTCCGCCCTGACCCCCTCCATTAATAATCCTCCCCACCACTCTTTTGGCACTGACCCTGACAATTATCCTTCCGTCACTCAGACACCCACACAGTCAGGAAATTGCCCACAATGTCAGTGTCCTACCTGTGAGGATATTATTGTCTTTCTTCAGCTTTTCAGTTTCGCTCTTCAGGTTAGTGATCTCCAGGTCTCTCTCAGTCAGAGAATGCCGCATCACCTCGCTGGAGCCTTTCTGAAGCTTGGTTATCTTTAAGCAAACAGTCATTGAGGTAATTGATCACCCTCTGTCATCCCTCATTCTTTGCACACTGGAGCACGGTGCATGTCTACGTAGTAGAGGGGAGGTGATTGGGAGATGCAGTCTGTCTGTGTCACTCAAAGAGCTCATACAACTGACCTAACCATTGCTAGACCAGGGAGAGGGAAATTGAAAGAGGTGGTGGTGCTGGAGGTCTTAAAACGCATTAGGGTAGATAAATCCCCCGGACTTGATGAAGGGTATCCCAGGAACTTTGTAGGAGGCTAAGGGGAAATTGCACGGCCGCTAGTGGAGATATTTGTATCATCGAGAGCCACGGGTGAAGTACCCAAAGATTGGAGGGTGGCTAATGTTATGCCATTTTTTAAGAAAGGCTGCAGGGAAATGCCTGTGAACTACAGACCAGTGCGCCTTACATCTGTAAGTTGTTAGAGGGGATCCTGAGAGACAGGATCTATAGGCATTTGGAGAGGCAAAGACTTATTTGGGATAGGGAGCATGGCTTTGTGTGTGGGAAATCATGTCTCATGAATTTGGTTGAGTTTTTTTGAAGGGGTGACCAAGAAAGTAGATGAAAGCAGTGTGGTAGATGTTGTTTACATGGACTTTAGCAAGGTCTTTGACAAGGTATTACATGGTAGGCTGCTGAGTAAGGTTAAATCTCACAGGATTCAGGGTGAGCTAGTCAACTGGATATAAAGACAACAAGGCTAGCCTCTCTGCTCCTATTATGATGCTGCTTGGCCTGCTGTGTTCACCCAGCCCTGCACCTTGTTGTCTCGGATTCTCCAGCATCTGCAGTTCCTACTATCTCCAACTGGATATAAAATTGGCTTGCTGGTAGAAGGTCTGTAGAGGGTTGTTTTTCAAACTGAAGGCCTGTGACCAGCAATGTGCCACAGGGATTGGTGCTCAGTCGACTGTTATTCCTCATTTATATAAATGATTTGGATGAGAATTTAGGAGGTACGGTTAGTAAGTTTGCAGATGAAACTGACATTGGTGGTATAGTGAACAGTGAAGGTGGTTATTGGGGATGCAGCAAGATCTTGATCAACTGGGCCAGTGGGCTGAGGAATGGCAGATGGAGTTTAATTTAGATAAATGTAAGGTGTTGCATTTTGGCAAAGCAAACCAGGGTAGGACTTGCACATTTAATGGTAGAGCCCTGGGGTGTGTTACAGAACAAAGAGATCTAGGGTACAGGGTACATTGCTCCTTGAAAATGGAGTCACAGGTAGCCAGGGCAGTGAAGGCGGCTTTTGGCATGCTAACTTTCATCGGTCAGAGCATTGAGTAAAGGAGATGGAATGTCTTGTTGCAGCTGTACAAAACATTGTGAGGCCACATTTGAAGTACTACATGCAGTTCTGGCCGCCCTACTGTACGAAGGATATTATTAAACTAGAAACAATGCAGAAAAATTTACCAGGATGCTACCTGGGCTGAAAGGTTTGAGCTATAAGGAGAGGTTGGATAGGCTGGGATTCTTTTCCCTGGAGCGCAGGAGACTGAGGGGTGACCTTATAGAGTTAGAGATAATCATGAGAGGTGTAGTTAAGGTAGATAATGGACAGCTTTTCCCCAGGGTAGGGGAGTCTATAACTAGAGGGCCTAGGTTTCAGGGGAGAGGGGAGGGACACAAAAGGGTGCAGAGGGGCAATTTTTTCACTCAGAGGATGCTGAGTGTCTGGAATGGGATGCCAGAGGTAGTGGTGGAGGCGAGCACAATTTTGTCATTTAAGAAACATTTAGACAGGTATAGGTACAGAGGGATACGAACCAAATGCAGGCAAATGGGACTCATTTAAATTGAGAAAACTGGACAGCATGAGCAAGTTGGGCCGAAGGGCCTGTTTTCATGCTGTGGACCTCTATGACTCTATAACCAGGGTAGCTTAATCTGACTTCCATCCAATGACCACTATCAGACTGCATTCTTCATGTATGTACATGCACTATGAGTCTGTAAATGAGTATAGATAGGTTCAGCAAGTGTGCAATAAATTGACAGACAGAGCGCAATGTGGGAAAGTGAGAGGTTTCCCACTTTGGCAGGAAGAATAGAGAAGCAGAATATGATTGAAATGGAGAGAAACCACAGACAACTGTGTTGAAGAGGGATCTGGGTGTTCTTGTCCATGAATCGCCAAAATGAATCAGCAAGTCATTGGGAAGGCAGATGGAATGTTGCACTTTGTTGCAAAGGGGTGGAATATAGAAGTAGGATAAAGGTGAAGGTCCCAGAGGGCTGCTCTCTCGTTAGGGAGAGATGACAAGCGGCCAGTTTAATCACAGGGTCACAACACCTCAGGCGAGGAATAGGGTTGAGAAGGCAGGACCTTCATAGTGACCTCAGCTGGTACAGAAATTGAACCTGTGCTGTTGGCATCACTATGCAGTGGAAAACAACCCTCCAGCCAACTGAGCTAACTGACAACCCTAAAGGAGAGAAATCCCACAGTAGCTGTGCACGGCAATGGCAAGACTGCACCCAGAGCTTCGTGTACAGTTTTGGTTGCCCTACATCTACATTGCAAACAGTTCAGAGAAGGTTCACTCAGCTGATTTCTGGGACTTAGGGGCTGTCTTATGAAGAAAGGTTGAGCGGGTTGGAGTTTAGATGAATAAGAGGTGATTCTCGTGAAACATGCAAGGCCCTGAGAGGATGGTTCCTCATGTGGGGGAATGTAGAAATATGGGAAAACGGAATAAAAATAAGAAGGTCATACATTTAAGATGGAAATGGAGAAGAATTCCTTCTCTGAGAGTTTTAGTCTTTGGAATTCTCTTCCCTTAATGGTGCTGTCTGGGTCATTAAATAGATTCAAGGCAAGTTAAATTAGATTATTGATTCACATTGGATGTGGAGGAAGGCAGGAAAGTGGACTTAAGACCACAATCAGATCAGCCATGATCTTACTGAGTGATTGCAGGTTTGATGGGCTGAATGGCCTACTTCTGCTCCTATTTCCTGACGTTCTTTCAGTTTGAGGAGCTGGTATCAGACAGCTTTAGAGGCTGCAGTGTAAATTATAAACATTCTAAAACCTGCAAACAAGGATGCAAACCGTGACAAGATTTCGTCAACTTGAATTTGAACATTCTGTTTTATCCCTTTGCTTTAATTTGTTTCTGGGTGCTGTGTCCAAACCCTAACAAGCCAACTGAGGTTAGTGCAGGAATTTAAAGTTTGCAATTAAGCAAATTAAAATGTGTCAAAAAACTGTGTCAAAACAAGCCTCTGAATAAGGCTGGCGATCGCTGTTTGCAATCATCACTGACGGGAATTCCTTGAGCACAGATTTTTATCCCAATTCATTTTACTCTGAATGCACCAAACAAGAGTGAAGTACACAAGCGAAAGAAGCTCGGCAAACATGGTACCTCATCTTTCAGTGTTTCAATTTGCTCCTGTTTAGCATCAATGTCACAGCCGAGTGTCACTAATTGCTGAGTGATTTCCAAATCGCTCTGGCTGGGAGTCATCTGGGATAGCTGCTGCTTCAAAGCAGCCACCTCATCTCGCAGGTGAATAATGATAGTGGCTTTACGTTTGGACTCACTTTCGAAAACAGTTAGGCGACTTATTTCATCCCCCATTCGGAGGATTTGATGCTCCTGTAATTGAAGCCCAATCAACAATTACAAAGTTCAAATGCCTTGATACAATTGCATTAACTTGAACAAGGAAATTAAACGTTTAACAGGCAACCAAGGGCTGTTGTGGTGCAATGGTAGTGTCCCTAACTCTAAGCCAGGAGGCTCATGTTCCACCTCAGAGGTGTCTAATAACATCTCTGAACAGTCAGTTAGGAAAATATGTATAACCTAGGTGCTATGAGCTAGCCCAAACCTCCTCAAAATATTCAGAAGATAGCCTCGACCTTAACTTTTCTTATCTCTAAGGTAAGTTCCCAGGTGTTGCGTTCCAGATGCAATTGGTTGGTCAAACTAGCAGATTTGAAGCAAAACACTTTTGTACACTCTAGTTAAAATACAACAAAAGGAAGACGACATTGGAATAATTAACACCATTGAAAAACTGAACAGAATTATTTAGCTACTAAGCAGACATTGTTGCAATATAGTAACATCCCATAAACACACCCTTGACAATGGGAAATTCAGAAAAACAGATTGTCTACATGCAACTCCAGCAGCAGGAAGAGAAGCCCCAGCTTTTAGTTGTAACCGAGAGAGGGGAAGTAAACAGCTTCCACACCTTCAAAACCCCAGCAGCTGCTACTGAAAACAAAAACTAAAAATCTTGGTTCTGTGGAAGCTTGACCCGACTCATTCAGGCTGCTTCTACTGTTTCAACTTTTTAAAAAAAGACAAGGCCTGACAAACTGTTTACAAGTTTTCGATAGACAGCTCCCCACCTCTGCCTTAAAACCTCTCTTCAAAAAAAAAATGACAAAATACTTCCCTTAAAGCTCATAGTATCACCACACTGGGTCCTAAGGTTGGGACAAAGACAAACCTACATTTATATAGAACCTTTCACAAGCTCACACCTCAAAAACAAAATCCACAGAAAACACAAATTGATTCAGAGAGCAACATAGGGAGCATAAAGATATCATCAGAAAAAAAGAAGAAAATTAATTAATTACTCATTAACTTTATATAGTCAGTTTGATCAGTATTCTATCAACTGCTCTGAGCTCTTCCAGGGGGCAAAGTGGAGGGCAGCAGGAAGAGGGATCAGTGTAGATGTTGTTGGATGATGGATGTCACAGAGCAACTGTAGGGTGAGGTGCAATGGATGTATGAGGAAGTGCATGTGGGAAATATTCTTACAACAGATCTCCGCCAGCAAGAGGAGCTACTGGCAGCAGAAGCATTAACTTTGTGATTAGAATGGACAGATTGGATGCTTAGCACTGTATTGGTGTTTGCGACACGGACTGCAGAGTTCTCGTACCTTTTCTTGCAAGAGCATTTCCTGGTTCTGAGAGCTGGATAAAGGGACCCCGTTTCCCACAGATCGACCAGGGGTATTAGTCCAGGCTCCTGTTAACGAGAGGGCAAAATATTGTTCACTTTGCCACCATCAATAGCAGCACCACTTTTGTGCTCCCTACCTGCACCATATCTCACATTGCTTCATAATAAAGAGCAAAGTATGGACAGTGAGCATGGGAGATAGGGAGGAGGATAGAGAAGTTATGATGAGGTTGAGGAGGAGGCTTTTGAGAAGGATTTTGAATGCAGGTAGGGAGTGGGCAGTGGAAGGGGGACAGTTTCAGTGATATCAAGCCTGACGAGAAGCTGTCAATAGTGGAGGGTGAAGTTTGAATAGGCACAGTGTTGCAGGATGAGAAGGGAACAGTGTTCAAGTAGTACAAAGTACAAAGGCTGTGCAGAATGCCAGTGTTAGAGGAGAGGAAGGTTCAGCTCAAAAGGGGGAATGCAATACCTTTATCTATTGATGCAATGGTAACAATGCTTGTCTGATAACAAGCCTGATTCCAGTGCTAGAATTTATAAATTTGTAAGTAAAGGTGACTTTCCAGGGCAACGTTGAGGCGGTGCTCCTCACTATGAAGTACTGTCCTGAGGGTGAGATGTTAGATTAAGACTTTGTGCTTGCTCACAGCTATGTTAATGAAGAACATAAAGTTCTCTTAGGCAACATTCCTCTGTCAACAAATGTCATTAAAACAGATGGTCATTCATAGGAACAGGAGTCGACCATTCTGCAATCAAGGCTGTTCCAGTATTCATTTAGATCAGTTACCTCGATTCCACTTTCCTGCACCATCAGTCTCTAGAAATCTTACAATTTCTCACATGAAACATGCTCAATGGTTGTGGTACCACAGTCCTTTGGGATAGAAAATTCATTTCACTGCAGCTTGCAGTGAATACTGCAGTCTACAATATAGATATTACTGGATAAAGCAGAGCACAGTTCAAAGTCACTGAGGTAGTCCAGTCGAGGGGGTAGCACTACACAATGAGCTGAATATCATCCCATGCTGTGATGTCTGTGTTTCTGATCAGAATACTTGTTTTATTTATTCACACATGGGTCTGGCTTTCAAAATATTCTACATGCATTCTCTCATCTCACTCCAACCACCTAGATTGAAACTGCTTGGAATGTTTTGCCAGATCGTGTTAATTAAGTGGGAGAGACTTTCCTAGTGTGGGCAAATTGAGCAGAGCAAGATCCAACAGCCAGCTGCGAGATGAGTGATTGGCTGTTGAGGCAGGGAAAAGGCCTGGGCACAGGCAAAGTTCACAATGAATCAAATAGTGCTTTACATGTGCATTGAATTTATCTTTGCTGAATCTGAGCTAATTGAGAAAAGTATTCCTTATACAATAGCTGTAGTGTGCAGGCCAGACGCCATTTGCTGCTGACTGACCATGAGCTAGGATCAGGGGACAGTGCTGAGGGAGAAAGCACTCCCAGGGAATGATGATGAACGGGTCCCCTTTATCGCACTGGTCTCACAACACTAGAAAGAACACAGTCGGGGAGCCCTGTGCATGTTAAAACCAAGGTGCACTACTCCCTACGTTCTGCCTTGCTCTTTCTGGTATCATTCAGGTCAACGGCACAAATGAAGGAAAAAATATAGTGAAACTTGCAAATGATCCATAGTGGTCCAACTCTTCATGTATAATGCAAAATGTAGCTCCTGAATGACCAGTTTGTCTGTTTCCAGTTATTCCTGATTTTTCAATTAATTGCCAGGTTATAAGATCACAGACCTGAAACATTAAGTGCTGTTTTCTTTGTTTTGCACAGGTGATACCTGACCTGCTGAGTATTTGTAGCTGCTTCTGGTTTAGTTTCAGAGTTTCAGGCTCTGTTTTGTAAGCAGGTGTCTTGTGGCCCTTGTGCAGGCAGGCACAGCTAGTTCTGGAGTAGCCCTCGGTTTTACAATCACCGAAACTCTGCTCCAGAAAACTCGCCCTACAACCTATGCTGCCTTGCTAGACCCCCAGTAACCTCACTTTAGAAGATTCCTTTTGGATATTTTGGACAGTTAGAGGTCAGATATGGGGCCAGTCCTGAACTCTGTGTGAACACTGCAGCCCCCAGGGATTGGGGAAGCAGTGCCCAGCTGAACCAGTTGGTGGTGACATGAGATCATAGAATACCGACTGTGTGGAAGCAGGCCATTTGGCCCCTTGAGTCCACACTGACCCTCCAAAGAGCATCCCGTCCAGATCCAGGCCTCTACCCTATCCCTGTAATCCTGTATTTCCTGTGGCTAACCCACCCAGCCTGCACATCTCTGGATACTATGGGCAATTTAGCATGGCCAATCCACCCTAACCTGGAGTTTGGAGGAAACCCACGCAGACATGGGGAGAATGTGCAAACTCCACACAGACAGTCGCCCGAGGCTGGGATTGAACCCGGGTCCCTGGCGCTATGAGGCAGCAGTGCTAACCACTGGGCCACCGTGCCATCCTGATGATTGCATTAGTTGCAAAGCCCGTTTTCAATGAGTGTGCATACCTCGTCTGAGAGCGGGTGGGCTCCTGCTGGTGTCAGTTTGCGGGGCACTGGTCACTCGCTTGCTGCCCGCGCTCGCTGCCCGTTTCCTCAGGGGCGGGTGAGGAACAGTTGCGCTGTTGCCTTGAATCCAACCATTCGGGCCACTGGTGGAAGTGTAAGTGGGCAGCCAAGGGAGCTGGGAGGCTGTGACAGGGCAGGAGTAGGGCTGGCAGTCCTCGATGATCTGAAGGTGTCCAGGCCACAGTGACCGCTGACTGACTGGAGGGCAGAACATCTGACGGGAGGGCAGAGAAAGAAAACAACGTTTTAAACATTTTATTAGGGGAGCAAGCAGTACCGGCATTCGATCGCTGCCTGCTCTGACTTGCCTCAAAACGTCCAAACGATATCAAACACAAAGCCATTAAAACAACGAGCTGTGTCAGAAGTCACACAACTCCAGATTATAGTCCAACGGGTTTATTTGAAATCACAAGCTTTCGGAGCGCTGCTTCTTTGTCAGGTCAAGTCTGAATGATGAACTGTAATTTGTAAGCAGGGTGTACATGAGAGTAAATGCACTGGTCAGTAAACACCTGGAATATAATGTTCGACCCTGGTCACTCAGTCAAAATAGAGACATTCATGTAAGGGCAGAGACTATCACAAGGCTCCTAACTAATGTTCACTTTCCACATCATCAGGGAATACTCTGGTAACCTTTGGCCTTTTCCCACTTTGGAAGGATATCATAGAATCCCTACAGTGTGGAAAGAGGCCATTTGGGCTGCATCAACACTCCAAAGAGCATCCCTGTAAACCCTACATTTCCCGAGGCCAATCCACCTAGCCTGTAGATCCCTGGGCACTATGGGGCAATTTAACATGGCCAATCCTCTTCTTCCTCAGGCCGCTCAGGAAATTTGGCATGTCCAAAAGGTCCCTCACCAACTTCTTCAGATGCACCATTGAAAGCATTCTATCCAGGTGCATAACGGCCTGGTATGGCATATGCTCTGCCCAGGACCGTAAGAAACTACAGAAGGGGTGTGCACAGGCCAGGCCAGGCCATCACAGGAGCCAACCTTCCATCCATGGACTCTGTTTACACAGCTTGCTGCCGCAGAAAGGTGGCCAACATCATCGAAGACCCATCACAGCCTGGTAATGACCTCCTACAACCTCTTCCATCAGGCACAGAAGCCTATGCGTGTGTTCAATCAGGTTCAGGAACAGCTTCTTCCCAGCTGTTATCAGACTGATGAATGGACTCTCTAGCCTCAAATAATGTTGATCTTGCTAATGTTGACCTTGCCTAGATCATGCCCTGTGCAATCTAACCTGTACCTCTGTCTAAGTCATTTTGATCTATACACCTTTGCTTACTATGATCTGCCTGTACTGCTCATAAACAAAGCTTTTCACTGTATTTCGGTACACATGACAATAAATCAATCAATCTATCTAACCTGCACATTTTTGGATGAGCAAACCAGAGCACCCAGAGGAAACCCACACAAACATAGGCAGAATGTGCAAACTCTACACAGATAGTCACCCAAGGGTGGGATTGAATCCAACTAACCACTGTGCCACCCAGATCTCATAGGGGTATTCCAGATCCTTGAAGGATTTGGAGAAACAGATACCCCTAGGTTCAGAAACAAAAGCCTCTCAATATGCGATTGCAGGTAAATAAAGCCCTAAAAACTTCTATGGCATTTTGGGTTTAATAAACAGAGTCATACAGTATGAGAGTAAGAAGTTGTAAGGAAATTGTACAGAACATTATTTAGGCCAGAGTGAGGAATACTGACCGTGGATGAACATAATGATAGTGATGGGAGACAACTGTTATGATGAAAGACTGAATATACCGGGAACAATATGTCTAAGCTGTGCTGAGAAGGCTCAAGGACAATGTAAGTGAGGATGTGAAATGATATATACAGTCATGATAGAACAAGTAAGGAAAGGCTGTTTCCTGTGGCTATGAGTTGGTGATAAGGGACCATCAGTTTTAAATTTGCTCCAACCGAAAGAGAACGCATGACAAAAATCTTCTCATCTGGAGGGGAATGGGAGAATCCTTTACCACACAGAATATTGTGGCAGATAACCTGCAGGCTTCCATTGAATAAAAGTATCGGATAAAAGTTTGAAGCAGAGCAAACTATAGGGCCTGCAGGGGAAGAAGGGATAGTGGGATTAGTTTGAAATTGCTTTTAACAATGAACCAGTTCAGAAACATTAGGCCAAGAGGCTTACATCTGCGCTGTAACATTTCATGATTCTGTGATAAACTAAGTCAAATTATTTTCCGTGTCTGTAATGATATTGCAGACCAGTTTCACTACAACCTGCTATTTGCCTGGCATTGCTCCATGGTAAATTCCACAAGCCTCTCCCATCTACCTTGAAGTTGCTCACTCTTAATGGGATACAGTTTCACAAACACAGCAGCCCTCCAGGTACCTTACCGCATTCCCTAATCTTCACATATGAAACCTGGACAATGATTGTTGACAGGCTGTTCAACCAGGGGAGCATCACAGTATTGTTTCAGAGAAGCTGCTGACCAATACTGACTAGGAAACTAGTGGCAAATTTCAGCTCCTCAGATCAAAGATGCTGAGATCAATGTGAGCAAGCTTGTCACCACCCTGGATGAGATCTATTAAAGGCACAGACCAGGGACCGAAGCCAAGATCTGCTTGACCTGTGTGAATAGCTCAAGTCAATATCATCATCTGAGATTCTACTTGGTCCTCTCCCCTCAATTTCTCAAACTTGGTGATCTGCTTTGATGGAATTCTGAAGAAGAGTCATATTCTGCTTGAAATGTTAGCCTTGTTTCTGCCAACAGACCTCCTGAATTTCTCCAGCACTTACAGTTCTTTTCGATACATTATCGCTGGTCTCCATTCCAGACTGCAAAATAAAAAGGCTCCCAATGATTTAGCAATTTTACTGTAGAACACAACATTATTGTTAGTGTTTGCAACAACAGAAATGGTATCGCAAAGTGACAGGTCACACAATCTATGCCTTTTTAAAATTAATTCTTCCATGGGATGTGGATGTCATTGGCAAGACCTATGTCTGTTATCTGTCCCTAATTGTCCTTGAATTGAGTGGTTTGCTAGTTATGTCTCAGCAGAGTTAAGAGTCAACTACTTTGCTAAAGGTCTGGAGTCACACGTAGGCCAAACCGGGTAAAAATGGCAGATTTCCTTCCCTGAAGGACATTACACAAGTTGGTGATGGTGTCATGGCATTATAACTGAGACTAGCTCTCAATGGCAGATGGAGTTTAATCTAGATAAATGTGAGGTGTTACATTCTGGTAAGGCAAACCAGGGCAGGACTTATACACCTAATGGTAGGGAGCTGGGGAGTATTGCCAAACAAACAGACCTTAGGGGAGCAGGTTCGTAGTTTCTTGAAAGTGGAGTCGCAGGTAGACAGGAGAGTGAAGAAGGTGTTTGGTACATTTATGTTTATTGGTCAGTGCATTGAGTATAGGACTTGGGAGCTGATGCAGGGCATGTTGCAGCTGCACAGGACACTGGTTGGGTCACTTTTGGAATACTGTGTGCAATTCTGGTCTCCCTGATATAGAAAGTAATTTGTGAAAGTTGAAAGGGTTCAGGAAAGATTTAGAAGGATGCTGCCAGGATTGGAGGGTTTGAGCTACAGGGAGAGGCCGAGTAGGCTGGAGCTATTTTCCCTGGAGCATTGGAGGCTGAGGGGTGACCTTAGAGGTTTTTAAAATCATGACGAGCATGGATAGGGTAAATAGACAAGGTCTTTTTCCCCAGGGTAGGGGAATCCAAAACTAGAGGGCATAGGTTTAAGGTGAGAGGGAAATAATTTAAAAGGGATCTAGGGGACAACTTTTTCATGCAGATGGTGGTGTGTGTATGGAATGAGCTGCCAGAGGAAATGGTGGAAGCTGGTACATTAACAACATTTAAGAGGCATCCGGATATGTAGGTGTGACTAGGAAGGATTTAGAGGGATATGGGCCAAGTGCTGGTAAATGGGACTAGATTAATTTAGGATATCTGGTCGGCATGGACGTGTTGGATTGAAGGGTCTGTTTCCGTGCTGTATATGTCTGTGACTCTAAAAGGCTTCTTGTTGTAAGGCCAAAGGGTGTGTTACTTTAGATGCTTGTCACAGACCTTTAGTTTTCTTCCAGGTAGGAAGCAGGGTGGCACAGTGGTTAGCACTGCTACCTCATGGCACCAGGGGCATGGCTTTGATTCCAACATTGACTGTCTCTGCATGTTCTCCCTGTGTCTGCGTGGGTTTCCTCCGGGTGCTCTGCTTTCCAAAGATGTGCAGGTTAGGGTGGATTGGCCATGCTAAATTGCTCATAGTGTCCAGGGATGTGCAGGCTGGGTGGGTTAGCCATGGGAAATGCAGGGTGGCATCTGGGTGGGTGGAATGCATTTTGGAGGGTCATTGCAGACTTGGTGGGGATCCATCTGCACAGTAGGGATGCCATGATTCTGCAAATATGAGCTTGTCTGGGAAAGCTACCAGAAACATTTGTAAGTACACAATGCTCAAAAACTTGCATTTATGTAGCATCTCAAGACGTCCCAAAGCACTTGACCTCCAACAGAGTACTTTTTTTGCAGTGAGGTCACTGTTGTAATGTAGCAAACTCAATGGATATTCTGCACATAGCAAAGATCCCACAAACAACAAGATAACAAAATGATCTTTTCTGATGGGAAACATTTGCTAGAACAACAAGAAAACTCTCCTCTGCTGTTGTCTGAAATAGTGCATCAGAATCTGTCGCATCAACCTAAGAAAGCAGGTGGAACCTCAGTTTGACATCTCTTTCAGACAGTGCAGCACTCCCTCAGTGGGAGAAATAGCCTGGACACTGAAGTGGGATTCTTGCAGGGGTTATGGGTGTACCTTCACCCTCCCAACTCAGAGGCTGGTGCACTACCAGGTGAAGCATGGCTGGCACCCTACCATGTGCCAGTGCCTTCGGCCCCTTCTGTCTGGATACCCCACTCACCGAAGGAACAGTCTCCACCAGCAACTCGTAGGCGTCACCCCCAGTCCCAAAACGCAGCACATCTCCCGGCGCCAGGCGCACTGCTGCATTCTGGATACGGCAGTCATTAACAAATGTTCCGTTTGAGGAGTTGAGGTCCTGGAGAACAAAGCAGTTCTCAGAGTCGTTCAACTCGATCAGAGCATGGCGATCATCGATCCCTCCACTCTGAGAGAGAAAGATTCAATGATAAACCGTAAGTGAGTTTATTCAGCAACTTTAATGGTCATTAAGACAAGAAATCAAAGTCGGACAGATTTCTGTAGCCCTTTGAGCCTGCTCCATCATTCAATATGATCAAGGTTAACCTCATTGTCAGTAATGTACCAGCTTGGAGATCTCCAGGTAGTGTTCTCTGATAGCAACAGCAAGAGGAGGCAGTAGGTGAGAGACAACGTGGACATATTACCCATGTACCCACTACCTTGGTTCATTGTAAAGATGGAAGGAAGCTGCAGAAAGTGTTTTTATTCATTCATGGGATGAGGGGTGTCACTGGCCAGGCCAGCACTTTTTGCCCCATCCCTAATTTCCCAGAGGGCAGTTAAGAGTCAACCACATTGCTGTGGGTCTGGAGTCACATATAGGCCAGACCAGGTAAGGATAGCATAAGATACTAAAAGGCATTAGTAGCCGATGGGCTTTTTTCCCTGACAATTGACAATGGATTCGTGGTCATCCTTAGACTCTTACTCCCAGATTTTTTAAAAAAAATTGGATTCAAATTCCACCCCCTGCCGTGGCAGTATTCGAACTGAGGCCCCCAGATCATTAGCCTGGTCTCTGGATTAACAGTCAAGCAATAATACCACTAGGCACGCCCCGCCACCACCCCCACCCCCGCTAAATGGATCAGTCCATTACTGTGCAGTCACGTATTGTGCAGCAGATGAATGATGAGCTCCCAAGTAGTTTACGGGGGACAACCCAGGGGCTCAGTGGTTAGCACTGCTGCCTCACAGCGCCAAGGACCTGGGTTTGATGCCACCTGCAGGCAATTGTCTGTGTGGAGTTTGCACATTCTCCCTGTGTCTGTGTGGGCTTCCTCCGGGTGCTCCGGTTTCCTCCCACAGTCCAAAGCTGTGCTGGTTAGGCGGTGGACTGGCCATGCTAAATTTCCCATAGCGTCCAGGGATGTGCAGGTTAGGTGGATTGGCCATGGAAAATGCAGGGTTACAGGGATCAGGGAGGGGAACAAGTCTGGATGGAGTCTCTACGGAGGTTTGTTTGTGGAATCAATGGGCCAAATGGCCTGCTTCTGCACTGTCAGGAGTCTATGATTTGCACTTCTCAAAACAAAAAGCCTCCAATTTTTATTGGCCCTGTTCTGCTTAAGATTAAATCACAGGAATAGTAAATGTGAGAGAATGAAAGATTGCCCCCATGTCTGACCAATTTTTTGAGGAATTCTGAAGACATGTCACCTGACTGTCTCCACCACCACACCTCCTCTGTGGCCCCCAAAATTGTTCACTCCCCAGAGCTGTCACACAATGTGTTCGTATCCAACATTCCTCACCTGTAAACACAGGGCAGATTCCTTGAGTCGCCCAATGGTTGTCGTCTTGGCTTTAAGTGTGTAAATCCCATTGGAAGTTTTTAGGTAACCCTTCATGCCACTGCCTAACACATGGGAAAATAAATGAGAAATGTTAATGGTTCGAGAAAAAGCTGCTCTTCCAAAGCAGGATATCTGGAGAAAGCCTGGCATACATATGTGGCAATTAGAGCCTTGATACCAGAGTGAGGGAGGGTAAAAATGATCCTTAAAGCCCCTTGAATAGTCCAAGCACAAGGCATTTAGCAAACCAACAAAGGGGGCTCAGTACCATCACCACAAAGTGATGAAATGATCTTTTACATAAAGAATCCCTACAGTGTGGAAACAGGCCCTTCAGCCCAACAAGTCCACACTGACCCTTGGAGCATCCCACCCAGACCCATCCCCCAATAGCCCACCTATTCTACACATCCCTGAACACTACGGTCAATTTCCCATGGCCAATCCACCTAACCTGCACATCTTTGGGCTGTGGGAGGAAACTGGAGCTCCTGGAGGAAACCCACGCAGACGTGAGGAGAATGCGCAAACTCCACACAGACAGTCGCCCAAGGGTGGAATTGAACCCGGGTTCCTGGCACTGTGAGGCAGCAGTGCTAACCACTGAGCCACCGTGCTGCCCCAAATGATGGATAATTTTCTCATAGGGTCCTGTCTGATGGATAAACATCAGATAGGACCCTTTTAGAAAATCCCCCCGCAACTGTTCTTCAGAAACAGAGATCTTCGAATAATGCTTTACAACCAGGGATCTACACAATTGTCAGTTCATTCCAAAACTGTACCAATTCGCAAAATAGATTCTTCTTATATTTTATGAAAAAATATCATTTCTTTCAGTTTGTTTCATTCATTCATGTGAGTGTTACCTTGCTTTCATTGTCTTATAAATATACAGACGGTGGGAGAAGAGGAGCAAAGAGGTTTGGCTCTCACAAAAATTTCACCAAATGTTATAGGGTTCCTTTATCAAATAAAAAGGTTGATGTCTGAGAGCATTTAGAGATGGCAATAAGTGAGACTTTGTCAAAACTATCAAATCCATGCAATAAGTGAGACTTTATCAAAACTACTAAACCCACACAAACAAATACGGAATTTGTTCAACTTAGGTCTGGATGATAATTAATACAACGACAGATATCTTTCTGCATGTCTCCTTTCTGGTGTGAGGATGTGGGGGTGGGGCGGGTGGGGGTTGCTGTCCGTGCTGTCTGGATTCAGACAGCAAGATTTAGCATATCTGACTGTGCAAGGAATTACAGATGGGTTCTGCACTCATGAGTCAGCGGAAAATCAGGACAGGGTTCCTGGCTGATTGCCCTGTAGTCCCACAATCTCCCATTCACAGCCCAGAGATGACCTGGCCAGGGTCAGTAAACCAGGGCAGTGGCTGGGACCATTAAACCTACAGTGGACCGACTGTCATTTTATGAGTGACACCCTATTTTCTTACTGCCAAGCACTAACACATGCTGTAAGCCCTGTCTCCCCCACGGGTATTGACTGCCTGGAAGGCCCCGCTGGTGGGAGGTCATGACATTGTACCAGGTGAGTGGGTTCTTGTGAAACAGACCCACAAGGAACCCTCAGGCACAAAGAGGGAAGGACCATACCAGGTGTTGCTGAACACCCAGTCGGCTGTCAAAGTCCGAGGAAAGGCAAGGGCCTGGACTCGAGCCTCCCACACCAAATGGGCATCCTCCAATACAGTGGTACCAGAGACTGACTGACCACCATGTTGTCTACGGTCATTCTTTCAATTGGTTATTGCAGTTTTTGTTCTACCAGAGTTACATGTAAATGAGTATCTCTATATGTCTTGTAAGAATTGAGTGATTCTCTTCAAAGGGTCTCAGTAGAATCAAAAGGGGGGACTGTATGATATTGTATTATGATTCTCTCTACCAACTCACTCACAAGTGCTCTATGTTTATATTTGCAGATACATTTTAATTTGTTCATAAAGCACACAATTTATAGACAGTCAGTCAATGTGGCATTTTATAAATTCCTACTTTAGAAATAAAACCAGTCTGACTCCAAACGAAAACACAAACCAATTCAAAACAAGGCCTTACACCTAACATGACCCAAAATGTCACCTTTTTACACTGATAAAACATTTAGTTCTCTCAGGGCAGTGACTTGAAAGAAATTCACGGATTTACATATACATATTAATCAATTAAAACCTTCTAACTGATTAAAGATTTAACAGCATCTTAGATTAGTTTAATACATCCTCATCAGTGGTGTGACCCTTTGATCTTTTACTCATAAATTCTGTGTCTGATACTTCCTCTCTCACTAACACCTGAAGAAGGACTGAGGCTCTGAAAGCTTGTCTTTTCAAATAAACCTGTTGGACTGTAACCTGGTGTCATGTGATTTCTGACCTTGTCCACCCCAGTCCAACACCGGCACCTCCACATCCCCGTAACCATCTTATCTACTTGTCCTACTGCTCTGAAGGATCTTTGGACATACATACCAAGGTCCCTCTGATCCTATGTACTTCCTAGGGTCCAACTATTCGATGTGCGCTCCCTAGTTTTGTTAGTCCTCCCAAAATGCATCAATTCATAATTTTCAGGATTAAACTCCATTTGTTATTGCTTTGACCATCAGACGAGCCTGTCCATAATGCCTTGTAGTCTAAGGTTTTCCTCCTCACTTTTTACCACATCACCAAATTTTATGCCATTGTGAACTTAGTGATTATACTCTCCAATGTTCATGTGCAGATTATTAACATATACTACAAACAGCAAGGGACCCATCGCGGAAACCTGCAGTAGGCAACTGAACACAGTCACAAAATCAACCTTTGACCATCGCCATCTGCAACATATTAGTGGCCTCCAGCCCTCCGGAAGCTGTCCTGTGACCAAAGAGAATTTGAAAATTAATGTCAGACACACACTCACATATTCCATTCACACATGGGAGCCTTCTCACATTTGCACTTCATTCACACCCAGTCTACACACTCAAATACTTCTCTTACACACACAACCCTCTCTCTCTCTCACATACATAACCTCTCACACACACACATCACTCGAACCCAGTCTATACACACAAACTCCACTCACACCTGCTTTACAAACTCACTCAGACTTCAGCCCCACCTGGTTTACACACACACACCCAGTCGACACACCCACACCCCATTTCACACCTGGTTTACACACACACACCCTTGCTTTACACACTCACCGTCCATTCACACCTGGTTTACACACACACACACCCCTGCTTTACACACTCACCCTCCATTCACACCTGGTTTACACACCCACACCCCATTCACACCTGGTTTACACACCCACACCCCATTCACACCTAGTTTACACACACCCACCCCCCATTCGGGATTTACACACACTCTCTGAGGTTGCAGGATCTTCCCACCAGGCGCTCGCTCCGTTTTGCCGGGTTCTCGGTTCCCAGGAGTCGGTTCTCCCCTCGGGTTCTTGTCCCTCTCTCTCTCTCTCTGTGTCTGTGTTGGAGCAGCGTAACTAGCTCCATGGGAACGGGAGCTCCACCCCCAGACAGGGGACAGGGAGGGAGGGAGCGACAGACAGAAGGAGAGAGTAGAGGGAGGGTCAGAAGGAAGGAGGGAGAGAGGGAGACACAGAAGGAGGGAGGGAGAGACAGAAGGAAGGACAGAGGAGGGAGGGACAGAAGGAAGGAGGGAGGGTGAGAGAGAGGAACGGACAGACAGGAGGGAGGGAGAGACAGAGGGACGGAGGTGGGAGAGGGGTTTTGCAGAGAGTGCGGGGGTTGGGGGGGCGATGGAGAGCGAAAGGAGGGAACGAGCAGCAGGAGCTGGTGCAGTAAAGGATGGGAGAAAGATGAAGAGAATTGAGTAGAAAACTAACAAGCACCGAGAGGAGAAGGAAGGGAGATGGAGAGCGAACTAAACAGAGGGGAGAAAACTGGGGCGGTAGGGGAATAGGGAGCGAGCAGAAAACGGCAGAGGCTGTGTGTCATCTCGCCTTCCTAAGCTCCTGCCCAGAATAAACTTCACTGATAGAGCTGGTCTAAAATATCCCAGTGTAAATACCTCAGTGCAAATATGTAAAATATCCCAGTGTAAATATCTCAGCGCAAAAATGTGTAAATACCCCAGTGCAAAAATGTAAAAATACCCCAGTGCAAATGTGTAAAGTATCCCAGTGTAAATATGTAAAATACCCCAGTGCAAAGATGTAAAATATCCTCGTGTAAATACGTCCTCAGCCAGGAAACAATTGCTGTCCAATGCCAAGGAAGCCTGCTGTGGGAAGAAGTCACACTCACCTAGGACTAAGTTTCCAGGAGAATTCTTGGTACATCTCCTGCCAAAACTGTGCGCGCCGTGGGCCAGCTTTAACGTTTTGAACATGGGGGAGGCAACGACCTTCATTAGTATTGGCGTTGCACTGTTAATTCAGAGACCCAGGTAAGGAAGCAGGTTCAAATCTTCCCCCCACCCTACCCCACCGAGGGTGGATTTCAAATTGAATTCAATTTTTAAAAAAGTCTGGAATTGAGAGTCTAAGGATGATCATGTAACCGTTGTCAGAACATCCCTTTAGGTTCAATAAAGGTGCCCTATAGGTAGGGAAACTGCAGTCCGTACCTGGTCTGGTCTATACGTGACTCCAAACCCACAGCAAAGTGGTTGACTCTCGACTACCCTCTGAGCAATAAATGCTGACCTAGCCAGTGATGCACACATCCCATGAATGTATAAAAAAAATTAGTGGGAGTAATGCAGTTTACCCCAAACACTTCCCATATCTTATACACACACAATTGTTTTTGTTTTGGAATTTTACAAATAACTTTTCTTTTCACTGCAATGTTCACCTGTCAACGCTATCCTCAGCTGGAAGTCATGAATATTTTTAATCCACCTGCTCAGAGATGTTCTCGCCACTTTTGGAGGGGAGCAGGTAAGACTTGAACTCAGGTCTCCTGGCTCAGGAGGTAGGGACACTACCACTGTGCCACAAGAGCCCCTGTTCAGCTGGGATTCCTGTAAGACGCACTGCAATTCAACACATCTGGGGTTTGGGAATGTAAACTTCAATTTATGTAACAGCAGATTGATCATGATTACTCTAACTCAGTGGTGCCAAATGGCCACCTCCCCCTATTTTTTGGGTTCCTTCACGAGGGAAGTAGATTTTTCAATCCTGCTCTCTATTACCCTCGTGTGTTCAGCATTACAATAGCAGCCAAAAGAGTCCGACGAAAATCTCCACGTCTACTTTGTCAACAGACTTTCTGAAAATGCCAAAAAAAGCAAATCTGGCATTGTGAGGCCCCTCCCCATTCCTAAAAGTAGAAACTCATTTTATCTTCATCTTTTTCCTTGCTCTCTGTTTTTATACAGTTCCTCTAAACAATCGTAAGAGTTACTGAATCAAAAGGAGTTACTGGGAGGAGTGATTAAAGACAAAAAAGGTGAACGAATAGCCTGGAAGGAGGGTTTTGAAGGAGAGAGGTTGAGGAGCAAAGAGAAAAGACTGAAGATATTGCTGCTGTGGACAGTAAAGGGGAGGAAAGCAGCTGGGGGGGGGGGGTTCACTGGGAGTAGGGGCAGGAAGGGATCTAAACATGAGGATGAGGGTTATAACGAGACACTAGTGGGTGAGGAGGCAGCATTGTCAGTCAGCAGGAGGACAGGGAATGTAGGCAGCAGAGTTTTGGTTCGGCTGACAACGCGGAGGATGGGAGATGAGCTAAGAAAGCATGGGAATACTTGACTGAAGGGGCCAAAAGCATGGGGGCTTTCAGTAGTGAGGAGAACAGAGTTGGTCAAGTGGGGCACGGACTCTGCTTGTTAAAGTCCCTCTACACCTGCATTCCCCATGCAGATAGCCTTAAGGCCCTCCGCTTCTTCCTGTCCCGCAGGCCCGACCAGTCCCCCTCCACCGACACCCTCATCCGCTTAGCCGAACTCGTCCTCACACTCAACAACTTCTCTTTCAATTCCTCCCACTTCCTACAGACAAAGGGGGTAGCCATGGGTACCCGCATGGGCCCAAGCTACGCCTGCCTCTTTGTAGGTTACGTGGAACAATCCCTCTTCCGTACCTACACCGGCCCTAAACCCCACCTCTTCCTCCGTTACATTGATGACTGTATCGGCGCCGCCTCGTGCTCCCACGAGGAGCTCGAACAGTTCATACACTTCACTAACACCTTCCACCCCAACCTTAAGTTTACCTGGACCATCTCTAACACCTCTCTCCCCTTCCTGGACCTCTCTGTCTCCATATCGGGCAACCACCTCGAAACCGATATTCATTTCAAGCCCACCGACTCCCACAGCTACCTAGAATACTCCTCCTCCCACCCACCTTCCTGCAAAAATGCTATCCCCTATTCCCAATTCCTTCGCCTCCGCCGCATCTGCTCCCAGGATGAGGCATTCCACTCCCGTACATCTCAGTTGTCCTCGTTTTTCAAGGACCGTAACTTCCCCTCCTCGGTGGTCGAGAACGCCCTCAACCGTGTCTCCCACATCTCCCGCACCTCATCCCTCACACCCCGTCCACGCAATAAAAACCAAAAAAGAATCCCCCTCGTCCTCACGTACCACCCCACCAACCTCCGGATCCAACGCATCATCCTCCGACACTTCCGCCATCTGCAATCCGACCCCACCACCAAAGACATCTTTCCCTCCCCACCTTTATCTGCTTTCCGGAGGGACAACTCTCTCCGTGACTCCCTTGTCCGCTCCACACTCCCCTCCAGCTCCACCACACCCGGCACTTTTCCCTGCAACCGCAGGAAGTGCTACACCTGCCCCCATACCTCCTCCCTCACCCCCATCCCAGGCCCCAAGAAGACTTTCCACATCAAGCAGATGTTCACCTGCACATCTGCCAATGTGGTATACTGCATCCGCTGTACCCGGTGTGGCTTCCTCTACATCGGGGAAACCAAGCGGAGACTCGGGGACCGCTTTGCAGAACACCTACGCTCGGTTCGCAACAAACAACTGCACCTCCCAGTCGCGAACCATTTCAACTCCCCCTCCCATTCCTCAGACGACATGTCCATCCTGGGCCTCCTGCAGTGCCACAACGATGCCACCCGAAGGTTGCAGGAACAGCAACTCATATTCCGCTTGGGAACCCTGCAGCCCAATGGTATCAATGTGGATTTCACAAGTTTCAAAATCTCCCCTCCCCCCACCGCATCCCAAAACCAGTCCAGCTCGTCCCTGCCTCCCTA